ATCTCCACCTGAACCAATCAAATAAAATAAATTAATTTATTCATGTAAATCTTAGTACTTCCTGAGACACACTCAATTCTCCACTGCTTGGTCATAGAGTTCTTCTCCTGACTTTAGCTTCAACCGGCCGCTGAACGTTTCTTATAATGCAAAGTTATCATATTTTTTATATGATATCCAAAGACGAAAAATATAATATTAAGGCAACCATTCTTTCTCCTTATAGGAAGCTACTCCTCAAATTTCTCAACATACATCAATTTATGAAGGCTTCTACTCAATAAGGCTACAAATTTAGTGCTTTCATTTGCTCCGGTTCTCATATTGGGACCGCGATATTCCTTCACACCTGATTTTTAGAAGATATATGAATTCCAGTTAGGTGAGGGTCCTAACTAAAGGTCAAATTCAATTTATTCAAACCTTGAAATTTATTCACGAATTATTGGGAATTTTCTGTGGATAATTTTCCAAATAATAATCCAAATATAATTATTCGAATGGAAAATTGAATTATTCATGAGATACTCGTCGTAATTATTTGACCATCATTTCATTTTTAACTAAAACTAAACACTAGAATGGTAAGGGCACAAAAAGAATTTAAGTATAAAGAGAAACGAAAAAATAAGTGCTATAATGTTTGACATGATAATAAACATCATATTAGAAGCTCTGTAGTATTATTCTATTTAGCAATGAACACAATTATAATATATGATGCCTCGTCAATTGAATAACTGCAACAACCTTTCTTCAGCCATATCGGCTCCTCGATGGATGACTAATCCTTGGCTGTGTCAGCATTATTTTCATGTTGATTAATAATTCATATCATTTAATTACGCAAAAAATAATGATTTGATTCCCAATAAACAACCTAATACCATTTTTGACTTTTTTAATTCACAACATTTGCACAAAATTATATACAGATAGCATATATACCTGAACATAAAATAAATACCAATGCTACGTATAGCACGTGCGCGCTATAAAACCAAGCTGTGGGAAAAATTGAACAATACACGCCTCGTAAATGGTAGGTTGAAACAAATATTTGTAGGTGAACCGCATGCAAACCTCATAGATAGTGTGTCCAATGTAATTCCCTGCTCTGTCCGTGAGCTTTTCCTGGGAGCACGAACATGCGGTTTTGAACGCCAGGTTTTCACACCTTGGAATTCTTCGTAAGGAATATATCTCTTCGAATTCCGGTTTATTAGTGAGATAAAACTTTAGTTATTTACTATGTAGCTTATTTAGTTTGTTAGTAGGAGAAGATTACAGAACAAAGAGAAGGGCGATAACCGTGGGAGTTATCTAGCCCTAAAATCAATCAAATTCTAGTGTTTGTGCAATTTCATGCCAGGTTATTCATCAAATTAAAATTTGACCAATTTATAATTGCCTTTTGGTGGCGAAATTGGATAAAGTCCAAGACTTGAGCGTACGGTGAGCTTCGTGTTCAGTTACAAAATTGTTACGATGAAAAATATAAACATGTATTGATTGATGAATGCTGGCTTGCGTAAAGAAACAAAAAAATATGAAAGAATGTAACTGCTTGCCATTCATTATTCCTTTATTGAAAGTCCGAAGGTATTTCTGACGTCGCCAAGCATGTAGAATCATCAGCTATACGGGGCAAAAAAAAATCATTGAAAACATTTGCTATTTTGAATTGGACCAGCGATTGACCGCACTGCTACAGGTGCGTGGTCATTACAATTCAGCTGAGAAGTAAACGGACAAAAAAAAAATACCGAGAAAGAAAAAGAGTACATAACTTTGGGTTAGGTTTGATCACAAATAATGCGGCGTATAGCGTGCCTAAAAGTCTGGTTATACCTTCACGATTGGTTGAATTTTTTTTGAAAACATTTTCTAGTAGGAAAGTTTTGTTATTTCTGAGCGGAAGTGATTATTGGGAATATTTTACGCAACCTCTACGAGATGTCACGCGTCATCTTGATTTTTGGATGAGTTAAGGTAGATGGAAACAACCATCAATCAAATTATTAGGAATTATTCTCTTTAAATTTTAGGAAAAACATATATAACCAACTTAATGATAAGAGCAGACCAGGAACAACTGCTATTTTCCTATAATTAAATAGGTGAATAAAACCCATATACGCTGATTTCTGACACTATAGTTAATACAAGCTTTTGATCAATTTACCGAATGAGTCTTGTCAGAGAATTTTTTTGCTCTTCGTATCACGTTAATTTTCTACGAGCAAACTATATAGAAGTTATTTTTCAACATTCTGGTATTTTTGAAATTAAATTTGTGTAGTCCGCATGCAGGTCCCTCAATCAGCAGCGGTTTATTAGCAGGTGAAATTTAATGCTCAAATTTCCCCCAAAACGTGCTAATGTTCTACTATCTTAGTTAACAAGTCTTATCGAAAGCTATAGTTGATAGTTTTCGACTCGGAAGTCATTTTCGGCGCAAGTTTAGTTCTACTGAACGAAGTTATAATGAAAATTGTTGACTGACTTTCTCCAGATTTGAAACTCCGTGCTTGGCCTTGTTTGAAGTTTTAATTAGAATACAGGATTATATTGCCGGTCTGGTAATTTGTTGGTCTTTCAGTTCGATTCATTTTTCGAATGTGCCTCTTATTTATGCCGCACCAAAGATATAAAGCAAATGACCGTAAGGGAGCATATACTGTCTATTTATTTTTTTACTAAATTTTGAAGTGACCTTTGGAATCGTAAATTAATTCAGAGATAGTGGTAATTTAGCTTCTCCTTTGTCCGATTGACTGTTTATTAAACGTTTATTAAAATCTTGCTTTGACCGTCGAACTTTAAAAAAATTACCATTTTCGCTCATGAAAAATAATTATAGCTTATTGCTAAATTTCTACAGATAACTTTATGCATGAGGTCCGCCTGTAATATTTTTATGAATTTAATATCGATTATTTGGATTCATATCTTACCGAAACAAGCCACGTAAAAATTCTCCAAGAATCCTAGCACTGCGGCCGTATAAAATGTCCAAACACGTAAGGGATCCTAACCGGAATGCCAGCTATTCTAATCGCTTGATTTACTGCGAGAATTTGCATAGCTGGAGGAGGCGCCATGTCTGGAGTCCAGCTCACCTCCAGAATTGGTGAGTCCAGCTAGTGTACCGAATTGGTGGGTCCAGCTAGTGTACCGAATTGGTGAGTCCAGCTAGTGTACCGAATTGGTGAGTCCAGCTAGTGTACCGAATTGGTGAGTCCAGCTAGTGTACCGAATTGGTGAGTCCAGCTTGAATTGGTAAGTCCAGGTTGTGTCCTGAATTGGTAAGTCCAGGTTGTGTCCCGAATTGGTAAGTCCAGGTTGTGTCCTGAATTGGGGAGTCCAGGTTGTGTCCTGAATTGGTAAGTCCAGGTTGTGTCCCGAATTGGGGAGTCCAGGTTGAGTACCGAATTGGGGAGTCCAGAAGGAGGATATCCTGCAGCATCAATGTATTAAGAAATTTTTTTCTAAGAAATTTATTTCTAGCCTTGAACTGGGTATCTATAAAAGATCATTTTTCTTCTAAATAAATAATGATGCTTTGGAGAGAGATCATTATGACGAAAAAGCATTGACATGATATTAGAATTGGAAAAAATCATTCAGATTTTTCTTGGCGCAACTATGTGAACAAAAGCAGAGACTCAGAAAGCCAACGTTTATTGAAAATGGTCATAATTCATCGAAAAAAATTAATCGTCAATAGCATCTTAAAAAATATATACGTCCTAAAGACTTAACTCTATATTTTACCCACAAGAAATAGTTTGTCTTTCGCTACATTTCCAGCTACGAGGAATGAGTGTGTGCGATGTTAAATACAATTTCTGGTGCAGCAACTTTGACGATCCTGCGTGAAAAAGCGCGTTCGCAGCCAGCGTCCCTATAGGCTCCCTAGCTGGAGCAGCGAGCAATTGTATATAGGATTGCATGCCGCGCTCTATATATTGCCTATTCATTGCTACCTCCTTGTATATTGCTTATTTATTGCTACCTCCTTGTATATTGCCTATTTATTGCTACCTCTTTATGTATATTGCCTATTTATTGCTACCTCCTTATATATTGCCTATTTATTGCTACCTCCTTATATATTGCCTATTTATTGCTACCTCCTTATATATTGCCTATTTATTGCTACCTCCTTGTATATTGCCTATTTACTGCCACCGCCTTATATATTGCCTATTTATTACCACCTCCTTATATATTGCCTATTTATTGCTACCTCCTTGTATATTGCCTATTTACTGCCACCGCCTTATATATTGCCTATTTATTACCACCACTTTATATATTAACTATGTATTGCCACTGTCTTATATATCACCTATTTATTGCCACCGCCTTATATATTACCTATTTATTACCACCGCCCGATATATTGCCTATTTATCGCAGCAACGCTGCTAGCTGCAGTCATATATCTCTGCAATAATCGCCTGAGTGGCGACCGAGATTTTTCTGCCGTTGGGCGTGTAATTACTTTCCGTGTCTCTGGCTGAGCTTTATTCGATCTGCAACGCTCTTTATTCCAATTAAATATAAGTTACTTGCTAATTAGTACCTGCCTCAATTAAACTAATGTATCTCAAGCGGGGATTAATAGAGCGCTTGCTCTAAGCATTACAAGTGTCATCCGTGGGAGGTTAAATGTCTTTATTATATTTTTCTTGTATCACCATAACTATAAATCAGTTTTATCTGTGGGTAAAGTGTTGGAAAATAGCAGGATCTCCAAACTGGTTCTGTTTTGAAGCAAGTTTCGCCAAGGCCGAGGAGGAGCTTTGGTCCAAACAGGGCATTGATGGCTGCTATTGTGTTGCAAATTGCCCTTTTCCCATTGGATAATGACTAGCATGACGTCACATAATTGCTTCTTCTTGACTGGTTGCCTCCAGTCCCTCAACTCTAATTGGACAGGAACCAGTTTGATTGTGATTGGTCCCGCCTCGTAAAGGAGGACCAACCAGAAGGCGGTGTTGGATCTCACGCATACTCCCTGGACGTGAGCTTCGCTCTTCCAGTTCAGTTGAACTTGCGTGCCCACATCGTAAGCGGTCTGTGAATCGCCGCTAAGCTCTAGTGAACGAACAGCTTCTCTTAAGTGAATTATAATCCTGACTTTGGGATATGTCCGACTATAAACAATCGATAGGCTAATCCTGTTGCGAACGATCGTCTCAAGTGCTCTGTAGTGACCTCTAAGTTACCTTACTTTGCGTAACTGCAGACAAGTGGTCGGCGTTTCTTCTTCTTCTGATTTATCCACACCACAAACCCCAAATGCACATGAACGGCGGTGAGTTAATTATTTTTATTTTATCTTTTGATTAAATAAGTTGTTTTTCCCTGTTTATAAACGTTGTTTTAATGCAATTTCTCAGATTAGGATCATGAATATTGTGCTACACGTGATCTTGGTCGCGGGTATTGCGGGCACTGCCTTGCCGTGGCGGCGAACGCTGCTTTCTTGTACTGGTGTTCAGACTGTTTAGTTCGTGTATGATACGCAGCTACGAATATCATTATTCTTCATTCGTATATATGCAAGCACGAATATAGTTAGTCCTCTTGTGTATACGCAGCTAAGAATATAATTAATCCTCTTCCGTATAGGATATGCTGGCACGAAAATAATTATTCCTCTTATGTATATGCAGCTAGGATTAGCATTATTTCTCACATTTATATGCAGATAAATATTTCCATATTCCTTATATATGCATATGTACATATGCACATTAATTCTATGTATATGCAGTTACGAATATCAAGATCTCCTATACATGCCTTTATTTTATATATTAGGATTTTCACTTGGTTTGCATCTTTTACTAGATTTCTGCTGAAGGTATTCTTATTTAGCAGGTCTTCTGTTGAGAAAAATATCGTCGGCGGTCATTAATTTTTTTTACGTGTCCGTAGACATAGAGTTAGGACATGAAATTCAGTCTGATGATCGATTTGATAACAAATATTTGGAGCATGAAGTTGAAAAGCATTCAGCTGTCGACTTGGAACTGTACACGATTTTTTTATTCTAGTCCAAAATTATTTCATTAATAGTCACTTGAATTAATCAAGCATCGGACCGCAGGGTATCAGCGATTGAGGTCTTAGTAAGCGTTTCCGAGCAGTTGCATCCATTAAGTCCACGCATCATGACTTCTTGCAAATAGTCATTTGAATTACTTAACAGAGATAGTCAGATTTTTATACATTTAGCTTAACTTTTTATTACAAAATCCCCGCACCAATATCCTAAGAGACTAAGAGTCTTTAATTATAGTCGAGTTGTTGGGGTGGCCAGCGCTGAAATCTCTGTGGTGGAATGCGCCCAGAATATTGATATATAAACAAATTGTACTACGTGCAACATTTTTATTCGTATTCATGGATAAACTAAAATTATCGTGATCATAAAATGAAACCATTATACCTCTGATGGTACAGACAGGTAATTATAGCTCGTATACCGCGTTGCTTAATATATGTATATCCCTATATAGCTTATTGTACCATTAACATGAAAAATATTTGACATTTGTTTTCTGCAATAACTTTTCTTTTACCTTTAAACCTACATTTTTTAAATTAAAAAAGAACGGCTTTTATCGAGCAGAACGGGTTGGTCTCACAGAATTATATATCTCGAACTTGCGATAAACATCTTTAAAAAATTAAATTTATTACACTGCAGGCAAACTAAGTAAGAATTAAGCCCGTCTTCATAATTAAGAATTTTCTGGTAAATTAAGAATATTCTGATCAATTAGGAATATTCTGGTCAATTAAGAATATTCTGGTCAATAAGAATATTCTGGTCAATTAAGAATATTCTGGTCAATTAAGAATATTCTGGTCAATTAAGAATATTCTGGTTAATTAAGAATATTCTGGTCAATTAAGAATATTCTGGTTAATTAAGAATATTCTGGTCAATTAAGAATTTTCTGGTCAAAATTAAGAAGGACATTTTTGAGACCTTGTAGGTGCGAAAAGGTAGCCGCGAAGGTATATAGCTGCATATGCAGGTACAATTTGGGCGTTTGAGACCGACCACAATTAAGTAGAATGCATGGTAACTAACTTGTTTCTAGGATGCATTTGTTTTAGGACGTGAGGAAAACTACCTTGCATTCATGCCTGTACGTGGCATGAGTGGCAACTCGTGGGCTAGCCGGTGGCATGTGCCGCGGCAACTCATCGGCTAGCCATGCAGTGGCTTGTGTGGCAACTCCTCGGCTAGTCTGTGGCATGTGTGACAACTCTTCGGCTAGTCTGTGGCATGCGTGGCAACTCTTCGGCTAGCCTGTGGCATGTGTGGCAACTCTTCGGCTAGTCTGTGGCATGTGCTGCAATTCTTCGGCTAGCCCGTGGCATGTGTGGCAACTCTTAGGCTAGCCCGTGGCTTGTGTGGCAACTCTTCGGATAGTCTGTGGCATGTATGGCAACTCTTGGATAGCCTGTGGCATGGGTGGCATCTCATGGGTTAGAATAAATAAGAAGAAAATCGATGAACGTTTCTTAAATCATATTCACGCACTAATGCTTATGTTCTCCATTTTATTGCGGGGCGAAGTACAAACTTATTTCCAAGCACTTATATCAATTGTCGTGGCCGAATAGTTTCATACTATTTTAGTTTTTTTCTGGATTTTAGTTTTAAGTAGTTTCTCAAGAGCCGCTTAGTTTCGGAAAATGTGTGACGTTTAAAATCACGGAACTCGATCAGTAAATCGTAATAAATTCATTGATTAATATCTGAACAACGAATAGTGGGCGATATTATTACGGAAAGAAAGTATCATTAATTTTATCATTGAAATCCGGATGATTGAAACATTTAAAATTAATTTGTAATCGCTGTGAATATATCTCTAATTAATTTGCCAAAGTATAAATAATATATTCGTATTAATTCAATTATAAAAATAAGATTTAGATTCGCAAACGAGATAACAAAGCTCTGAAGCTGACGCCGTTCGTGGCCGAACAATTAACGTGCCAAAAGCTTCAGCTGAAGCTTATGTTCTCCTAGTTTTCCTAGTTCTCCTGGCAATGAATTTAAACTGTGAACCTCTTCTACGCTTTATAACATAAATATATTAACATGTTATTGAGAATTTTTTTAGCATTATTATGATCACACATACTACTTCATACCCAGTACATATATTTATATCACTGATATTGATGATACTTATTTTCAGTGTTATACCGCTATGACCAGCAGGAATATCATTCCGATGATGGCCATCATCACACCTATAAAGTATAGAGTGCTGACTTAGTGCTAACAGTGCATAGAGTATCACGGCTCTGGTATATATATGCACGATAGATGATTAAAATGAGTAAAGCATATTAATGCTGCCAATCTGCACGTATTTGCACAAACGGAATGCACTTTATTAAATGAATGATCTCGAGGAAAATGTCTATCATAGAAGACGCGGCTGCGAAAGCAAGCCTGCATGTCCTGAAGGCGTATCCAGGTTGGTGGTGATCACTTCTCCTGGTTTGGTCATCAGGTAAAAGGCACCATGCATCACAACAGGCAAAATGCGAAAAATCACGTAAAAGCCTAGCGCATCAAGCCATGCGTCACACCTCAGGCTCTGATTTTGTCATTTCCGCGCCTCTGTTATTGTCTACCGGAAATTTACGGCGCCCGCCGAGCAGTAGTTCTGCCTCGCGGTGATCGTTAAGAAAATCCATGGCGCCGTTTTTGTCTTTTTAATTAACGGAATTTATTTTATTTTCGTTTACAATTACTGTAAGAATGAGAGGTTAAATTCACCTGTGCACTGAAGGAATGCTTGAATTTTGCTTATTTCCAGGTTTTATGGTTTTTATCAGTGCATGTTCGGTTGACATTCCAAAATTGGATGCACCTGAGATGAATTTTGGCAGAATTAGTCAAAAACGTACCTTCTTGCCTCATCTAATCAGCCGTGCAGGAGTGGAAATGCATGCCACATTTCGACAACCGTGCAGGAGTGGCATTGCATGCCACATCTCGACAGCCGTGCAGCAGTGGCATTGCGTGCCACATCTCGACAGCCGCGCAGGAGTGGCATTGCATGCCACATCTCGACAGCCGTGCAGGAGTGGCATTGCATGCCACAGCTTATCGACCACAGGATTATAGAAGTAACTAGCCATTACCAGGACGACGTTGATGAGATCGCCATGCAGACTCGGTGCTGGGGCCAACCTCTTGTGCGAGTCACCAGCCTTTTATTGATTACCATCGGAGCCTACGTGCATAATTCAACTATAATTTGTAATGGGTAATTGCTGCATGCCATTGATAAGCAATTTTCATGAACTCCACGCCCCTCCCAGTGACCGGTGCCACTGTCGCTAAATTTCTGACCAGCTGCAAATATTTCAATCGGAGAGCAATAAATCACGATTGACATTTGTGAAAATGCCAATTTTTGCTAGAATATTGTGTCTGTATGAAAAATTGTTTTTAGGCGAGTTTCCATTATAATTGTCATCAAAAATATAATGTAAATTTAAACACAAATAAATATTGATTATAGGTAACGTGTGTTCTGAACTGGCGCTACATTGACGCGCCCGCTGTTTATTTATTAGTAAAACCTGCTGATATATTGAAACTATCGAAAAAAACATCATTGAACTCCACTAATATGACCTTTCATTATAAATCGATCGAAAATTAGCATATTAGCCCATTACCCACCCATTCATTTCGAGGCTTGAAAGCTGCAAGCGATTAGTCATCAGAAGCGAATTCGAATGAAAGTGCAAAACATATTATCGAAAGTAATGTTAGAAAATGAACGTAAATTGATTCATTACTCGCACGCTGGATATTTTTCGCTCCTCGGCCATTAATTCATTGAACTTAATAATAAATACTGGGCAACGGTAAGTTACTGTCGTTAACTTGAGCCGCAAACTTCCTGCCAAATATATACCGTAATAAAAAACTAGGTTAAAACTTTGGGTGGCGTATGGGCGGCCAACGAATGGCAGGCGTTCTGCTGCGTTTTACCTTCTACAGAATTATAATTTACGTGCGTTTATATTGGTCGATGGAGCATGATATTGATATATGTACATTAAAGCTATATTTATTTATACAAGCGATGTACAGCTTCTCGCTGGCTGAGCTTCGAACGATTAGCTAGAAAAATAACCTCGCGTCTTGAGTCCTCATCCAGGACTGAATATGCATAAAATACAACCGTAAATTGCAATAGTGTTCACAAGTTTGAATAATTTGTTGTTAATCGAGGGGACGTTTCACAATGACGGAGT